CCCATCCACCATATCCACTGTCTGGCCTCAGTCAGCTCCTTCCCCTACTGGGGATTGAACTCAGGGCCACCCCGTTTTCCAGTCACAGAGGACTGCCTGCCATTCCCTGAACAGGCTCTGAGCACCCTTGCTTGATGTCTTAGCTTCCCCATTCCATTGGCCTGACTCCTCCTCCTTTCTCTCACCTTGGTACTTCCAATTCCTCAGATCCAATAAAGTTTCATCTCCTCCAAGAACCCTGTCCTGACCTCCTCCCCAGGCCCTGGTACTGGAGGCTTGCTCTGCCAGCAGCTCCTGTGGCATGACGTCCCTCCATTATACCTGCAACCTTGTATGGTGGTCCTCTGCCCACGCCTGCCCTGCCTGGAGACTGCAGACCTGCCATCACTCCCTGACCCTGGTTGCTGACGCATGCTCAGTAGATGTTTGCCTTCTCCCCTGCATTGGCTCCTGGGACCCACTGGGGGGTAAGGAAAAGATGTGAAGACCAAAACAGGACATTAGCTTTCCATCCACAGACTGATATTAGTGAAAAAGTGGGCAGGAGAATGATTCCTCAAAGATCTGGCTGAGAATGGAGAAGCCCTCTTCTTCTTCAGCACCCCTCTCTATGGGAAGTCTGTTCCTGACTATGTCTGAACCCTTTCATGCTTTGGCCCATCTCTCTCCCCTGAGTTCCAAGAATAATAAAGAGGTCATGGAGCACATTTCCCTGAGGCTGGGTCTGTGATTAGTGCTAACATTTGAGGGGACCACTGTGCTTTAGATGTCCAACCTCTCATTTCCATTTCCTTCAGGTTGTGTTCTTAGCAGGCTGAGTTCAGCCTGCAGCTCTCCCATCTCTCTGGATTTCAAGTGCACTTAGTTTGTGGATAAAGGCTGTGTATTAACATCCTTAGTGACTGATGGCACAGAAGGTCCACTTCATCCATCCACCAAAACTCAGAAGGAGTCCAGGCAACAGGTATGTAACTGCTTCCATAAGCCTAATTTAAATCCTCCATGCTTCAGGGTAATTTCATTTCATTTTGTGAGGATACTAAGGAAAATCTCCTCCAATTCTATTCCCCTCAAAAAACTGGAATAGTTGACTGGAAATAGAGCTTAGTGGTAGAACAAGTTTTTAGTACATGCAAAGCCGAGTTCAATCCCCAGCACCAGTAATAACAATTATAAAAATTTAAGAGTAGAAGTGCATTTTTTTCAGTACTGGGGATTGAACTCAGGGCACCAAGCTATGTCCTAGCTTTTTTTTTTTTTTTTTTTTTTTGAGACAGGGTCTCACTAAGTCACTAAGTTGCCAGGCTGGGCTCAGATTTGCCTCAGCTTCCCAAAGTGCTGGAGTTACAGCTGTGTACCACCATCACCATCACCACCACAGCCACCACCCCCCAGCTTGGAAGTCACCTTACAGCCAAGCGTTAGTCACACTGTCGCACAAGACACTGGAGTCTAGCTCCATCTTCTCCAGACAACTGTGGCCAGGCTTAACCTGTTACAAAATAGACCAGAGCTGGACTGAAAGAATTCAAGCCCAAGAGAGTGTGGGAAAGACAGCAAAGAGGACGATGGGACACTCCTTGGACTGTAGGTCCCAGGCAGCCTACAGTCAGGACTGGCAGGGCTGACCTCTGCAGTTCCAAGATTTAATTACTACATGCACAATAATAATCATCTTGAAAGCAAAGGAAGCTCAGGTGACTTGCATGCTTCTCTTTAATGCTATCTCACATTCTGGTTTCCTCTGCCAATAACTGGACTAGTAATTAACCTCCTTTATGATGGGTCATGACCTTCTAGAATTGATGGCCATTAGTTGGGGGGAAGGCTTTAAATCAGACCAATTTCTCTGAGAGTTCAGAGCCCAAAAGTCCATGCTCCTGCCTCCAAGAAGAACTCAGCCACACTCAGCCCCCAGAGACTCAGACCCTGGGAGACTCCAGTGTGCAGGAGGGCTGGGGGGTCACCATTAAGGTTCTGACCTGCTATGGAGCCTTCCATGTAAGACCTTAAACAAGTCCCTGACCACTCTGAGCTCACCTTCATCAGATAAATAGGCACAATAATACCAACCTCAGAGGGATTCCCTGGAGTTCCATGGATAATGTATTTAAAAGCCTTTCACACAGTACCAGACACATTACTGGCACTCCTTTCCTCTCCCCAAGCAGAAGAGAGAGTGTTCAAGGAGCAACTGCCCACAGGGAGGGGGACACTAGGAGTAGAGATAGGCCCTGAGTTCTGAGAAGAGAAAGTTTGTGCCCAAAGGGACACAGGCGGAATGGCAAGTTAATAACAGAAGGAGAAATAACCACATGTGGAACTCTCATTAAGTGCTAGGTAAGGTCCTAAATGCTTTGTGGTCCATTATCTCATTAAATCCTCCCAATAACTCTCAGATGGGTAAATTACTATCCTGATTTTGCATTGAGAAAACTAGGGCTCAGGAATGCTATTCACCTGCCCGAGGACGGTCAGGCCAGGAAGCTGTCCTGACTCGTGAGGCCCAGTCCCCTCCACACACACATGCAGGGCCCCACACTGTGCAGCGTGCTCCGGTAACTACGGCTCGGCTCGCAGCCTGCAGGGAGGGTCTGGCACCCCAGTGTGGGGCTTGTGTGCCAACAGAGGAGCATAAGGTTCTGCCCACAGACCTACCGTGCAAGACCCAGGGCTTCAGGGCCCCAGGCGAACGCAGTTTAATGGGGGCAGCAGGAAGGCGCGGCCGGCTTTGGGTCTGGGTCAGGCTCTAGGGCAGAGCCCTTCAAGCCCTGCAAACCCCTGGATCTCGAGCTTCCTCTGGGGACCCACGGGTTGCCTTATAAGTGGCAGCGCCGACTTGGAGATCCAGCCTGCGCCTGCAGGCGCCACCGCACGCCTCACAGTGTCCTACCTCTCCTCCAGCCTCCTCGGAGCCCCCTACAGGGTTTGCGCCTTCAGCTGTGCCTCCTGCGGGCCCAGGCCAGGCCGCCGCGGCATCACCGCCACCCCCTACCGCGGCATCTGCTGCTACCGCGGCATCTCCTGCTCCCGCGGCCTCTCAAGAGGCTTTGGCAGCCGCAGCGTCTGCGGGGCCTACCGCACCGGCTTCTGCGGCCACAGCTTTGGCTACCGCTCAGGCGGCATCTGCGGCCCCAGCCCGCCCTGCATCACCAGCGTGTCGGTCAACGAGAGCCTCCTCACGCCCCTCAACCTGGACATCGACCCCAATGCGCAGTGCGTGAAGCACGAGGAGAAGGAGCAGATCAAGTGCCTCAACAGCAGGTTCGCTGCCTTCATCGACAAGGTGGGTGACCTGCACCGCACCCTTCCTGAGCTAGCACATTCTAGAAGGAGATGGGAACCCTCAGGCCAAGATATTTAGAAATAAAGAATGGGGACTGCTATTTTATATCATTGTGGGTGGTACAGACCCTTGGCATTAAATGACATTGAAAATCTGATGAGAAGAATCATGACCTTTTACGTCTACTTCAACCCTTGAAGTAGGTGAAGAAACTAATTGGACGACAACGACTTGCTTCCTCCTTTTAATAGAGCAAGCCTAAGGTTCAGAGTTGCCTAGGACACCAGTTTCAGCTAGAATTTAAAGTTTTGTGAATTCCTTACGCACACCTACTGATACTGGACTTACATCGATAGTAGTGAGGTGAAGTTACCCTCTTAACTCTTCAAGTGTAAATGTTCAGTGAATCTGTCTATGGTAGAGAAAACATGAGATGCAGGGGAAGACAAATTCTGAAGTCTGTCTGAGAAGTGTTGATATCGGAGAATTTGCTACTAGTCTACACAGAAAAGTGCCAGGGATAGGGCAAGGGGTCTCCCTAGGGGCCCACAGAGAGGGAGCCAGAGCAGGACCAGGCCCAGGCTCTCTCCAGCCACCCAGAGGCCTGGAGCCTGAGTACCCAAAGCTGGGAGCCCCTGCTGCCCAGTGCACTCCAGCAGGGGCTGATCCACACAGTGGGCACCATAACCTGTGAAGGTGACCAACAAGTGGAATGAGGAAAGGGCCCAGGTCCAGGAGAGTGTGGCCTGCGCTCCACCCTCAGTGCCTCCACTGATTGGCTATGTGCTCCTGACAGTAGCACCCGCCCTCCAGAACTTTGAAAGGGAAGATTGGGCCAAGGTAGCCATGAGGTCCTGTCAGCCAAGACCACCTAAAATTATCCCATGTAGTATTGGCAGCCCCTATTCCCCATTTCTGGATGTTCCAACCTCATATTCCCGGCTGCTGTCCTGGAAGGGGAGGAAAGGTACCTGAAGGCTAGAAGGCAGGGAGAAAGACATCTCTCTCTACTTGAGCTTCAGCGTATGAGAAGTGGCAACCCGGAGGTCAAGGGGCCCAGTCTTGTTTGCTGACACCCTTCCTGGCCAGCAGTGGGTACCCCTCCCATTGCATCTCTCCAGTCTGAATCAGAAGGGTGGCATGCCCCACCTTCTCTGTTTTCCAAATCCATCCCATCCACTCCACCTGCCTGGCTCTAGAGACACTATATAACTTTAGGCCACCTAGCACCACACCACCACTGCTCCAGGCCTCTTCAGACCCCAGGCATCCTGCTCAGCAAGGCCTAACACCCCTGCCCTCCCCAGTTAGGAAGCCCTTCCCACTTTGACCATTCAGCCACTTCTCACCAAGCCGGGGCTGGGCATGAGGCCTGCCCTGGGGGAGGTCATGGTGGAAGGCTTCCTTCCTCCTCTCCTGAAGCTCCCCTACATGCCTTTCCTCCAGAAAGCCTTCCCAGATTGTCATTCCTCCACTCCTACCCTTCCCCCTCAAGCCCAACAGTAACTCTGCACACCCATATGCCTCTCTGTTCACAATCATCCATCCTGGCACCTGGACAGACAGATGCTTACTCAAGCCTGGCAAGCAGTCACAAAACAAGAATTCCCCGGGTGCATCCTCTTCCAGAAAAGCTCAACAGAGCCATGACATGATCCAGTTCTGCACATTTCCCTGCCAACTCCACCATGACACTGCTTATTCTTCAAGCAGGATGGAAGATGCCAGCCCATCCCACACTCTTCTCCCATTTCCACCTCAGGTGCGCTTCCTGGAGCAGCAGAACAAAGTGCTAGAGACCAAGTTTCAGTTCCTCCAGAACCGAGAGTGTTGCCAGAGCAACCTGGAGCCACTGTTTGAGGGCTACATCCAGACGCTGAGGCGGGAGGCTGAGTGTGTGGAGGCCGATGGTGGGAGGCTGGCCTTGGAGCTCACCCATGTGCAGGAGGTGCTGGGGGGCTACAAGAAGAAGTGAGTCTGCCGCCCAAGGGGAGGAGTGGAGAAACAAAACGGGATTAAGTTAAAGAAAGGTGTATTTGGGTTAGACCACGAGGTACTTCGCAACAGGGAGAAGACAGTACCAATAAGCCTCTGGGTAGAGGGAATTTCTGTAAGAGGCTGAGAATCTAAAGATTGTAGAGATTCTGTACTGCTCCAATTGCCTCATAATTACATATTTATTTCATTAATTCACCAAACATTTATTGAGCATCTGCTCCATACTGCAGGTGCTATGTTACCCCTGAGAGGGGAAAGGATAAGAAGGAAGGAGGATGAGGAACGTAGATAGAATTAGGCCAAGATTCCTGTCCCCCAAGGAGTTACAGTCCACAAACAGAGGAGGCCTTTGAAATGTGCAACACACCCACCCAGACTCCCATCAGTCATGAGAATCCCTAAAACCAGAAGTGCTTTGGGGAACACAAGTTGATTTGAGTGCCCAGAGATAAGGATAGATAGGTCCCTTCTATTCTGACACTTTTTAAATTCTATGATCACCTCCAAAAGATCCAGTTTCTGGCATGAGTTTGTCTAGAGCTTTATTCTGTTTTTTCTCCCCACATCTGAGCCTTGTGTCCTTTGTACCTAGGTATGAAGAGGAGGTAGCCCTCAGATCCACTGCAGAGAAAGAATGTGTGTCCCTGAAGAAGGCCAGTGGCCCCAAAATACTCATGCACCGAATCAGAACTAAGGACAGAGGCATCAGGGCCTCTCTGTGACGGCGAGAGGCTGAACTGTTCCCCAGAACGACACAGCCCAACTTTGCCTCTACTCCTTTCTGCTTCAAAGCTCCATGGGTGGCCCCTGACACCAGAGTGCAATGCCACCTTCACAAAGGGCAGTAGTCTAGCCCCTCTGGTCACTGGCTTCCCAACACCTCTGGCCCTGTGGCCATCATAGAGTGGGAACCCAGCAAATATGTGTGAGGAAGGCAGGGGCTCCTGAGAGGATGCGAGGCACAGAGAACAAGGCCCTTGCTCTGAGCCTCCCTGGCTGAAGAGGGGCATGACTGATCCCTGACCCTCTTCTCCTGACCCCAGATTCATATTCCCATCCGTGAGATCCAAAGCTGCAAGGGGTGGAGCATCATTAATATGACCTATTTCACACTAGTGCCTAAGTATGGACAGTAGCACAAGATGTGAGTTCTACAGGAGTCACCCTAGTGTTGCCAGAGGAAGTACCTGGAAACCTCAGTAGAGTCCCCTGCCCACCTCTATTTCTGACCCACCAACTGCATAAAGGGCTACACCATGGCACCGGGCACAGGAGTGAACATCTATGGAGGGTTCCCAGGGAGTTTTCTTAGCCTGATGGGTGCCTCTCACTGGCAGGGAGAAAAATACAAGCTACAGATTGTCTCCCAGTGGGTTGATTTCTGAGACTCCTGGTCCATCTTCTCTCTTCAGAATGTGGACAACAACTACCTGCATAAGTCTGATCTGGAGGGAAATATGGAGGTGCTGATAGAGGAAATCAACTTCCTGAGGCATCTGTATGAGGAGGTGAGAAGCCGCAGAGCAATGAGGCAGCAAGGAGGATGTTAGACACTGGGAAGGATCAGTCACCATTTCAGCTTCTGAGCCTCAGGGTAAGAGGTGGAGAGTACAGAGCATTTGAAAGCCCCAGGCTGGTTTGCTGTCAGAGGTAAAGAAGCACAACTTGACCTCCTGGCTCCATGACATACAAGCTGGTATTCCTGGCCCTTGAGGTGACAGTTATCGAAAGCTGGTAAACTCTGGTCCTAGACTCAAGGATGGAGTTGGAGATGCTGACTGGAACCAGACAGCTAGCCTCAGATGTGGGCTTTCTCGGCCTTCTCTCAGTCCTGGGACTCTGGGCTGGAGGAGCATTGAGGGCCCCAAGACTGAACAAGAAGACTCTGACTTGAGCTTCAGACAATGAGGCTATTAGAGGAAGAAAGGGAAGAGGACTGAGAAGGACTCTGAGAGGCTGGGCTGCAGAGAGCAGAGACTGACTAAGAAGCATTTCTCCTTGTAGGAAACTCACATTCTCCAGTCCCACATCTCAGATACCTTGATCATCATCAGGATGGACAACAGCCGGCACCTGAACATGGACCACATTGTGGCTGAGATCAGGACTCAGAATGATGACATTGCTACCCGCAGCTGGGCCAAGGCCAAGTGCTGGTACCACAGCGGGGTGAATGGCTCAGGACACCAGCCTGCTAGACGTTGCTGGGACCACTGCACTGTAAATCACTATGACTGGGCCTGACTCAAGATAGGGCCCCAAGTAAAACAAAAAACACACATCTTGTTCTCTTTCTCCCATGGAAGAGACAAGGCCCCATGAGAAAAAAAACAGGCGACAAAAGGGCATGATAAAACAAGGCCTGGCCAAAAAGAGGATGTGTCTTCCTCCCTGCCCATTCGCCATAAGACTATCAAACATGATGCCATACAGACCCTAGCCGCTCTCACTGTTCCAGTCACAGGCACCCCCTTTTACCTCGCCCTGCACTTCCCTTATCTCTACAATAAAGAAACATGCTGCAGTTGCCAGCCAGATGTTTTCTCCCATCAGAGGAAGGCTCCACCTGGCCTCAGCCTTTTATATCTCTTTGTTCTGTCTTTTCTTCATCCGCCATTGTTCTCTCCGTAAATCCCTCAGCTGTGCAGGCCAAGGCAAACATGGCAATGGGAAAGACGTTAAGTGTTTAATAAGAAAGGCTTCTTTTATCTGAGGAGTCTGACCTCTAAGGGTGTGTTATGGCTTATATCCAGATGCCCCCCAAAGCCTCATGCATTCACAGATGGGGCTTATTGGAGGTGGCTGGATCTAGGGTGTGTGAATGTGGATTAAGGATGCAATGCTGGGATTAAGAATATGTGGGATAGGGGATTTAGCTCAGTGGTTTCGCCGCCTGCTGCGCAAGCGCAAGGACCCGAGTTCAATCCCCGGTACCAAAAAAGAGAATATGTGTGATTAGTCCACTGATTGGAATTAGCATAGTTCTGGGTTGCACCAGCCAAAAGGTGGGTAGCCTGAATGGAATACAAAGGGAGAGGTAGACTTCCTGCTGCTGCTGCTGCTCCTGCTGTTGCTGCTGCTTTGCCCCTGAGTGCCATGGACTAGTTCTCCTCTGCCATGCCCCTGTGCCATCCCACCCTGCTTTGAAGCCAGCCAACTATGGACTGAAACTGCTACAAACTGTGAGCTGAAATAAACCTTTCCTCTAACTTCTGAGTCCCAGAAATGCAAAAAGTAACTAAGAGAAGGACCAGAGAAGCTCTCAGGTTAGATTGATGTGGTGGAGCTCCCATGCAAGGTCGCACAGGCTGAGCACTATACAAGCTGCATAGTCACTAGTGATTTCCTCAATGTCCCATCCTAAGCCTCATGAGCATCTCTGCTGTCCTCAGTGCGAGGAAATGAAGACTACAGTGATCCAGCATAGGGAGACAACGCATCACACCAGGGAGGAGATCAATGAGCTGAACCACATCATCCAGAGGCTGGCAACAAAAATGGAGAACACCAAGTCCAAGGTACAAGAGCCATTCTTGCTGAATGAAGACAGGAGAGCAGTATGGAGGGAAATAAGGTGACAAGAGCTTTCTCTGTCCCATAGGCAGAATGGGACAAAGGAAATAGCACTGGTCTGACATCAGGCAACTTGGGTTCTCACATCTACCCTGTCATCTGCACGTTCCAGGATTCAGGAGAGCCAGTTGACCTCTTCGGTCCATTGTCCAGGACAGGGATCACATACTCATGCATCTACAGAGGCCAGGAGATGAGTGCAGCAGGCTGTGTCCAAGGCACTGGGGGTGGTAGGGCAGGGGCTACGGCAAACCCAACACACAAAAGGCAGAGCCAACCAGAGCCCACTGAGGAAGGCTGCACAGAAATGCAGACCTAGTGTCCTATCAAAAGAAGCCAGGGGCTTAGACTGTAACATTAATTTCCACCATGCCAACCTTGCCTGGGAATACCTACTTGCAATGAGTGAGGCCTCTTCTGACAGTCAACAGTTAGTCAATGCCTGGCCTCTAACTTTGAGCCCACAACAGGGAGCTATAACTCTCCTTCATCACCCAGGACACCATGCTGGAGACCGAAGTGACCCAGTCTGAGGAACAGGGCAAGGCAGCCCTCAAAAATGCCAAGTTCAAGCTGGCCAGGCTACAGGAGGCTCTTCAGAAGGCCAAGGAGGACATGGCCTGCCTGCTCAAGGAGTACCAGGAGGTCACAAACTCCAAGCTGGGCCTGGACATCGAGATCGCCACCTACAGGCGCCTGCTGGAGAGTGAGGAGCAGAGGTGCAGCCCACAACTGAGGGAAGGGTGTCTGTTCTCTCTCCCAAGTAATCCTGCTGTGCTTCAGAGCCAGGAATATGTTTGCATATTATTTACATCTAATTTGTATTGAGATTACTTAGAGAAGGGAATTTGCAAGTTAAAAGATTGCATCGACTTTGCTTTCTCCAATTCATTTTTGTCTCTTTGCTGTCCCCATAAGGTTGTGTAAGGGCATCAGTCCCATATCTGTAAGTAATTGACACTGTGAATTTGGAAATCAGGACTAGGAGTTCAGGTGGGCAAATGTATTCTTGTTGTTTTGTTTTTGGTACCAGGGATCGAACTCGGGACCTTCCACTTGTGAGGCAGGCAGCAGAACTACTGAGCTAAATCCTCAGCTGGGGCAAATGTATTCTTTTCCTGATGCTGGCTATTGACCCCAGGGCCTTGCACAAGCTAGGCAAGCACTCTACCACTGGGCTTCATCCCCAGCCCCCAACTTTTTCTTTAAGGGTCAGGCAATAAATATTTTAGGCATGTGGGCAATACAGTCTTTGTCCCAACTACTCAACTTTTACTGTAAAAGCAGCCACAGCCATGTGCAACACTTAATAGGTATAACTGAGTTTTTTAAAAAATTTATTTACAAAGCAGGAAGCCAACCCACTACAGAGGGGTGGGGGGTGGTCACTGAACATTGAAGTCGCTCTTTCTACCTATAGGGAGGGCCTGGGCTAAAGGTGTACCATGGGTACAGTGACGTAGGTCGGAGGGGGAGAGGCTGGAAGCAGAGGGAGGCGCCCTAAGCAGAGAGGCCCTGGCCATCTGGCCAGCAGGCAGGCCACAGGTAACCCAGCTGGGGCTAAACTCTGTCCTCCTCCCACAGGTGTCAGCAGCTCCCGGAGCAGGGTCATGTATGGGGACCTGCATGTGCCAGCCTCCCAGTGGGTGACAGACAGCATCTGCAGCACCCCGTGCAGAGGGAAGAAGGTAGCAGTGAGCACCAGCTGTTCTGTGTATTTTGAGTAGCGCCCCAGCTTTGGAAAGACATGATCTGAGAGCCATAGCCCCTACATCCAACATGAGGTCCAAAAGCCCAGGATTTGGGAAGGGCTTTGGGCGCAGTGTCCTGACTTCCCCACGCTGCTGCATGCTACCATCTCAAATCTCCCTGTGCACTTGTTTCTTGGTCTCTTCCAGGGAGCGCTGGCTCAGAGCCTGAGTCTGATGGTGCTCACTCACCCACAAACTACAGGTTTCCTTGCCACTTTGGGAAAAGACCCAATTCCAGCTCAGGCTACTCCTGGGGCTTGGACACTATGGCTTCTGAGGGACTGATTGGCCTCAGAGTCCTGTGTGCTCTGCCTTCCTGCCCCTTTCTAAGTCCAACTTTGGTGACAGGCAGCATTTAACCTTCTAATAGACTGGCCTGTTGGGTGCCAGGTTTCCAGTAAAGCTCACAGCCGTGTGTAACTCATGCTGATAATCTGTTGGTCCTGCCCGCTTCACCTGTCTGCACAGATTCCCTCCAAAGGGCAGTAGATGAGAGGCTGTTCTCAGCCTCAGAGGGAAGGAGGGCAATTTCCAGGCCACCTGCCCCTACCCTGCACACACTAGATCCTAAAGGCTGCAGCCCCCAAACCCAGACACACAAACCACAGGGAGTGCAAGGGAAGGAGCTGCCCCTCTGAAACCTTAGATAAGGATGTCACCACTTGCAGCTGCTCTGCACCAGTGGTCTACTTCCTCCACTCCCAGGACCTGCCCCCAAGTCAACTCAGGAAACCTTCCTGCCCATGAGGTCAAATACAGAGACTTCTCCTCAGCAACCAGCACATCCCACATGCTACCACACACACACACACACACACACACACACACACACCACCATCACTACCTGAGTGTCCCAGATGCCCCAGTACCCACCAGATGTGCTACCGGCCACCAGGGACAATGTTCTCATGCCTTGCCCCTGATGTAAAACCCGCAATACACAAACACAGACACCTCATGTCAGAAACCCTGACATGTGGAGGCTCCCATCAAAACCAGAGGTGACAGACAGAGGTACCCTACCTTTTCCTTCCCACCATGGGATTCAGACACACAGCCTATCCCTCTGCCGAAGGACCCAAGCACAGACTCCCTCCCAGTGACCTAGACTCTGAGGCCTCTCCCATGCACACACGCCCTCCATCCGTGACTATCAGTCCACAGAATCCCAGACACAGAGACCCCTCCCAGAACCCACACACATACCTGTCCAGGGCCCCAGGGCCTGTCAGACCCAGCACCAGGAAAGGGCAGCTGGCCCAAGAGTTGGCCTGGGGCAGCTGAGTGTGTATGGCCTTCTCGCTGCCAAAGAAATACACTCTGGCAGCAGAGAGGACATTGGGGTTGGAGGGGTGCAAACACCCTTGCCACTCCCTGGGCAGGGGAGGACTCCAGCAGCCACCCGCTGGCAGAGCCTGGAGTTCCTGTGGCCTTCCTGAGCTTCCTCTAGAGAGGTGCTGGAAGCAGACCACCTCTGGAAAGAGGCAAAGGTGTCACCCTGGATGAGTCCACCCTTAGAGCAGCACCCCCATGTCGCTGTGTGCTTCCTCAGTCCCCTCCACAGGAGGCTTCCCAGTTATCAGGGCAGACCCTAACCTCTGTGGTCCCCTGTCCTTCCCACCCACTTCCCTGCCCTGCCTCAGGAGGCCAGGCACCAGCTATCAGGTACACCCGGGCCTCAAAAGGCTCTTTATTGAAGTGACCCTGACATCCTTTTCAGAGTGCTGTGCAATCTTGGGACTCGGGAGGAAAGGGAAGAGAATCTTGGGACTTTGGGCAGAGGGACAAGGGTCTCCCTGTGCCCAGGGCTTAATAGTGGGTGCTCTCTCTGGTGGTAGATGTGGTCCTGATGGAATAGGCCTTGACAGCCCCAGGGCCCCCGCTGCTGAAGCGCAGGGCATTGCTGCCCATGGTTCCCCCGAAGACCAGTCCCCTGCCACCACCACCACTGGAATTCACCACAGCTGCAAGAGAAGAGAGGAGGACTCCATTGGGACAAGGCCCCCCAGGGACCCCTTCCCCGCACTCCGCCCCATCCTCCTACCAGAGCTGTGCCTCCCCCTCACCCTGACCTTCTTCCATGCCCCCTCCATCAGCCAGTACAAAAAGAGCCTCTAAATGTGGGGTGATGGTGGTGGAGGCTTCCCCACAAGACTACTGCCCTGGGCCACTGAACTGGATGTGAGTTCCTGGGAACCTTCCAGAAGCTGTGGGAAGGAAGGAGGCGCCCGGCCCCGTGAGCAAGGCCCTCAGGCCAGTTGGCCATTCTGAAAACCCCACCTAGCTACAGAGCACAGAGGGAAGCAGTCAAGGACTTACAGATGTTCGCAGCTGCCACTCCATCTCCAGACAACCTGGGGGAAGAGGACAAACTATGAGAATAACTCTTGCCTCAAATCTGGGGCCGGCACTGCCAGACACCCCTGTTCCAGGACCCAAGAAGGTTCCTTACCTCCAACCTTCATTCAGCCTTGCTGCAAAGGGGGGTGGGGGGCTCAGCCCTTCCCCCTACTGACCACATGACCCGGGGCAATGTCCCAAAACTTCCGTGGATCCGAACTAGTGGAGGTTTGTCAGAGGCTTGTTTGTGGAGTTTAGCTAGTATACTTCACCCAAAGCCCTGCGCCCTAGGATTTGGTAAATTGTAGCCACACTTCCTATTTAAGTACATGTCTGCCTTCACTCACCAGGGAAAGGTGAGAAAAGTCCTAAAAGTTCCTTATTTATGCCTGTGTCTCCAGCCCCTAACACGAGGACTGGAACATAGTAATTATCTGTACATGTTGAAATAATTAGTAAATTGTTGATTGATTTGACTGCCACTTCAGCCAGACAGGACTGAGGAGGGTGGGGGTGGCTTTAAGCAGCCTGTGGGGCTGAAATAGGTCTTGCAGTGGAAATTAAAACTCTGACAGCTGGGTTTGCTTGTTTCGTGACTCACACCGCCATTGTCACCAAGCCCTTGGCCTTGGGGATCGGTTTGCCGGGCAGGAGGAGCACCTCACTTTGATGGAGAGAATATGGAGCCCAGCTGGGCTCCACAGCCTCAAGCCTAGGAAGGGTGCAAGAGATGGAGTTTTTGGAAACTTCCAGGACACTTGTTTGAACGGCCCCTGCTGGAAGTGCTGGACATTGTGGGGGACAAGGGCAGGCTGCCACCAAGCAGCAACTCTGCACAAGGCCTAAGGGCCCCAGGAGAAGAGATCTGAATGTCCAAGTCTTAGGTGGCTTTTCTTTTTCAATTCCAAATAAGTATTTATTCTTGTGCCTAATTTTTATTTGTAATTTTGTATTCTCAAAAGTGCCCTCTATACACACACATTTTAGGGTTCTGGGGCCATGATCCTGGGTCTGCCCTAGAAAGGACTGAGGGATTAAGGGATAAAAGTAAGGTGTCCCCCAGGGTGGGGGTGTGGTGTCCTCAGAGGAACAGCCTGATTACAGCAATCCAGCATCCAGAAGGGGGTGTCTCATCTTGCTGTGGGACTTGGTAATACCATGTACCACTCTGAGCTCTAATTCCCTCATCAGGCAAGGGAGGAAGCTGTAAGGGTCCCCCACTCTAAGAGTACCCCCAACTCTGACTTCTATGAGGAAAAGAGGTCAAGGGTATAGGTTCCCTAGAAATTATGGCCCCCTGAGCCACGGCCAGGAGGGTGCAGAGAGAGGCAACATGGCTAGAGCTGTCCTGTGCCCACGGTCAGTGTTTCTGTTCCCAGGGCCCTCTCATGTTCATTTCCTCTGCCCACAAAGAACCCTGGGTGTCCATCCAGAGAAGGGCCAGTCAAGTGCAGGGCAGGGACCTCACCTCCCAACCCATGTCCTGCTGTCATGTCCCTCCTCCTTCTCCTCCTCCCAGCATCCAGGCACTCAGCCCAACACACCCTGATCCCCACCCCTTCTTCTCCATTCCACTCATCCTCCAGCCTCTCTCCCCAGCTCCTCAGGAACAATGTTCAGAAAAGAAAAAGATCTTTTATAAATTCAGCATCTGAAAAATGCAAGATGCTGTCTCTGAGTGCTTCTCTTTGTCTCCTCAGCACTGTGTCACCTCCCTGAGGGCAGAAGCACGTCACACGTTATCCATCTCCATGCTGGGTTCTAACAAGCCAGCAAGAGTCCTGCTTCTCAGCCTCTGCCAGGCTGTAACTTCTCGCCTCTCCAAATCCTAACCTTCCCCTAGGGTTAGGGTTGAAGCCCAGTCTGTTGACAGGAAGAATCAACCAACCCAACAACACAGGCGGAGGTGCCACAGTTTTCATGAAAAATCTCCTACAGGGGGAAAAATTTTTAGCAGCTGTACATCAGACAAGGGACTACTATCTAGAATATATAAAGAATTGAAAAAAATCAGACCCCCCCCCAATTCAAAGACCCAATTCAAAAATGGGCATCTGAAATGAACAGATATTTCTCAGACAAAGAAGTAAAAGCAGCAATCAAATATAGGAAAAAATGTTCAACATCACTGGTCATTCGAGAGATGCAGATGAAAACAACACTGAGATTCCACCTCACTCCACAAAGAATGGCTGCTATCAAGAAATCAACCACTAACAAATGCTGGCAGGGATGTGAGGAGAAAGGAACCCTTCTCCATTGTTGGTGGGAGTGCAGACTGGTGCGACCACTGTGGAAATCAGTATGAAGATACCTCAAAGAACTAGGAATAGAGGTCCCATTCCACCCAGCTCTTCCCCTACTGAGTATCTTCCCAAGAGAATTAAAAGAATCATACCACAGTGATATATGTGCACCCATGTTCATAGCAGCACAGTTTGTAATAGCTAAAGCTTGGAAGCA